CCACCACGCCAGTTATGGCGGGGCCATCACCGCGGCGCTGTTCCTGAAGGAGTTTGTGAAGGAGGGCGTGGAGTGGGCCCACATGGACATCGCAGGGCCGGTGAGAAAGACAAGAGTGACGTGTATAATCTGCCTGGGCAGCACTAACCGGGGGGCCCCTTCAGGCCGGCTGCCCCCGGCCTGCGTGTGTGCGGCTGAGGAGGGCCGCTTCAGGGACGGACCACCGGGCATGCTGCGTGGCAGCTGCTGACTCCGCGGTTGGCCCAGCTCCTTAATACCTCTCATGCGCCCCCCCAAACAAACAAACCACCGCCGTTTAATTCAGGTGTGGAACGACAAGGAGGCCCTCCCCACTGGCTACGGCGCATCCACGCTCGCCGAGTGGGCCGCGGCGCAGGGCAAGTGAGGGCTCGAGCGGCCCAACTCAGGGCGGCGCCGCGCGCGAGGGCGGCCCTGACCTTGACTCACGATCTCACAAGGCGCCACCTCCCGGCGCTGCTATTTGCGCTCGAGTGTATGCCTTTGACAGGAGCGATACGGGGCCGCTGCGCGCCCTGGCGTGCTGCAGTCCGTGTGACCGAGCGATCTGGCAAGATCGGACAGCGGTTAGACAAGGACCACCTGATACTTGTCCATCTGATACTTGTTCTGGTCAGCTGCTGTGACTAGCAGGATATTTATTTTTGACCGACGGGGCTCGACGCCCTTACCTTGGTGGAGAGCACATCGGCGCGGCGCCAGCGCGGCGTGCTGCGGTGTGCTGTCTCCTGGGTGTCAACCACGTGCTCCCGTTCTGTGTAATTGCAGCATTATTTCTTACATGCACCGCTCCGTCGAGGCACAACATTCTATGGGCTGGCGACGGGCAGAATATATAGGCAGTCTGCAACCTGCTCAATGCCTTGCGCTCCACCTGTGCTGCCGTTGCTGCTGATAGTGATGGCCCCACTTCGGCCGCAGCCGCTACTCTAATCAAGGAAAGCCGCCTTGACAGCGCATCGTCCACACATCTGAAACTGGGCAGGGAGGGCAAGCGCGGGGGCATTCCACACTTGCAGCACGGCAGGCCCTGCACTCTCAACAGTCACCGGATTCTTCTGCCCCCCTCCGCCGATCGGCCAGCAAGGCATCACACGCAAGTGACGCGAGCCTCACAAGAACACCTGAACAGTCGGTGCGCGACCCAGTGGAGTGATTACTCTCGTCTTGCTTGGCGCACCTTGATGGTAACCGCCCCACTGTGCTAAGGCCCAGAACCGGGTTCCCCCCCCCCCCAAAAGAAAATATGTTCGCAGCATGTAGTCACGATTTTACTGCAGGCTGACTGTGTTGAGCACTGTGCGTGTGTAGATGCCAAGACCACAGACCAAAACAGCACATAAAACAATTCGTCTCAACATTGAGCGATCAATTCCCCCATGCATCTGCCCCAGCAAGATAACCAGCCAATGTGCACAGCCAATGTGCAGTTTGTATGCCACAGGAGGCTTGACGAATGTCGGGTGCGCTGCCTGGCAAATCTAAACCGCCAGCTGTGCACAGGGTCAAGGTGCGCGGTGATCTGTACAAGCGCATCGCACCATGCATCTACGGGTGTGGGTGATGTTGGCGTTGCGTGTACAGTATGAACATTTTCACTTGTGGTGTTGAAACGTAACCTCACCGGTCGAAGAGCAACTCCCGCCCTTGCGAAAATTAGCAGCGGTCAAAAACCATCATGATCAAGTGACCCTGGCAGTGACGTGACGTGGCCGCCATTGAGGCAACACTCAAGTCTGCACGATTGCAAACAGCAGGGCTTTTATTGCGGGACGATCGGGTTTTATTGCATGGAGCCACCTGTTTGTTGCTGCTGAGGATAACTGTTGCATGCACGGCAGAGTGCTTCCCACCGTGCCGGAGCCCAGTGGTGGGGGCTCTGCAGCGCGTTGGAGCCCGCCCGAGGGCGCTCAGCCGCGGGCCATCGGCCTGGCCCACACATGGCAAGGCTGCGCTTGCAGCCGTTGGGGAATCCCTACATCATCAGCGGCGCCCTGTAGGGGTCTGGCACGTCGTGAGGTTTTGCTGGCAGCCGGCCAAGGAGACCTGGCACTTGTTGATCTGGTCCATGTAGGACAGCTGCGTCTGCTGCAGCTGCCCCTGCAGCTGCACCCTCTGGGTGTTGCACATATCCAGGTTGAACTGCGGGGATGAGTTGGGGAACGAAGGGGTTGGCCAAGCTAGGGGTAGGGAGTGGCCCGCCCCAGGAGGGGTTCTATGGCTGAGCTGCAGGTCGAGTCGGGCACGTAGAGTGGACCGCAAGGGTGCAGTTGTCTTGCTCAGCTGCAGGTGCAGGTGCTGACTCAGCTTCATGACAGCTGCTCGCAACTGCCTCCACCCCGCTCTCGGGAGGTTTTCTTGAAATCATCGAACAATTCGCCTCGACGCGGCACGCGACAGCCAGCGCTGCTTAGGGATGGAAACGGTGCTCACCTGGCAGGAAGAGAGCTGCCCGTTGCAGGTGTTTGCACTGATCGCGGCGGCCTGCTGGTAGCCGGCTATATCCTTCTGCAGTTGCAAGATCTTGGCGTTGGCCGCAGCAAGGCTGGTCTGGCAGGTGGACAGGCTGGCTGTCGCATTGGAGAGCTGAGCCGAGCAAGTGGTGTCCGTCGTCCCCTGCGTCGCCGGCGCCGCGTTAATCGTTGCGTTGAGGGCGGCGATGGTGGCCCGCGCGTCAGCCAGCTGCGTGGAGCAGGACGTCGCGTTGCCGGTGGCGGCCGCCAACTGCGCGGACAGCGCGGCCGAGGCAGCCTGCGCCTCGGCCAGCGCGGCCGCGCAGTTGCTGCCGCCGTCGCTGGTGGTCGTCGTGGCCGGCGCCGTCGACGAGGGGGGGGGGCGCCGTCGCCGCCTGCAGCTGGGAGGTCAGCGTCTGGATCGTGGTCTGCGCCGCGGCCAGCTGGGTGCGCAGCGACGCTGCCTCGGCGGTGGCGGTGTTTCTGGCGGCGGTGGCGGCGGCCAGCTGCGTCTGCAGCGACTTGATTGTGGTCAGGGCGGCGGTGTAGTTGGTTTGTGCCACGTCGATCTGCTTGTTGCAGCGATATGAGCAGTCGCGGCAGTAGCTGAGGGCGAGGGTCTGGGCGGCCGCGGGGGCGGCGAGCGCGGCCAAGGCCGCAAGGGCGATCACGAGCAGGAGCGAGGCCGGCGGCGCGCCGCGGCTGAGCTGGGCGCCGATTCGGGCCATTGCGGTTGGGTCGGCTGCTGACGGGCGTCCTGGGGGTGTGCTGAGGCAGCAGGGCTGGGGGGGACGGGGGT